GTGTTGTCCACAGGCTGAAATCTCTACAAGTAAACTCTGACAGGCCTAAAAATGTGAAGAGAAAATGAAATGAGCTGTATCTTCCTATAATATTTTATTTTCTATAAGGAGAATATCATGTGTTAAAATATGGTATATTATAATTTACAGATTATAATAAGTAATTGTGCAAAGTTTATAAATCAAACCTTACTTTCCCACTTACTTATAATCTTAGAAATGTCCATTTAAAAAAAAAAGAATTCTGGCCCAATAATATAATTACACTCAAGCTTTTAAAAAATTATTATCCAATAAAATATTACCATTATTCTTAAAAAAAAAAAAACTGTTTCTATAAGGATTTCACCCAAGAAAACCCTTTGGAGCGGTTCTACTCTTTAACACATAGGATCAACAGCAATGGGTTTGCAGTTTGGGGTTTTTTGTTTTTTGTTTCTGTTTTGGTTTTTTTGGTTTTTTGGCTCGACCAAAAGCTAGTTAAGAATTTTGGGGGTTAAACTTTTTCTAACCGTGTTGTGTGGGACAGAATTGGTGCTGCCTTTGATTGACCCTTTGACTTTGTGCTGGATATTTTAAAATTCAAAGAAGCGAAACACAAAAACTGTTTTCTCAGAGACTATTAGCTCTGTCTGTGGACGTTTACTCCGAAATGAGATGATTGTCTTTTTAAGCACTCTTCTCCTTGTAGGTTACTGTCCCTACCTGGGTAGGCTCTCAAGCTATCGGTCTGATTTTAGCTGGCAGCATAGAGTAGCAGATCTCCAAGTATTTGCCAGGCAGTACAGTCTGACACCCACCACTTTATGGTATTCTTACAGTATTGGTTTGAAGGCATGAGGAATAGATGATACTGTATTTGGGAAGGCTTGCCTGAGGCACAAGCCCCTTTCATATTCATGTGCTCTTAGATAAGTCACATCAACTTATCTAAAAAAAATAAAAAAGCTGAATATCTAACCAAACCAAACAAATTGCCATAAACTCATAGCAATCCTGCAGGACAAAGTAGAACTAACTACTCCTTAGGGTTTCCAAGGTTCTCCCAGGGTGGGTTCAGCCAACCTTTCAGTTAGCAGCAAAGTGCTTTAGCCACTGTGCCACTATGGCTCCGGCTAAGTATCCCATGTTCAGAAAATAGCTTGTACTAGATTGCTATGTGCACTCACCTGCCATCAAACTAAAGATCATTATAAGAAACAGTCTCGTAGAACTATTGCATCTATTATAAGGATATTGTGGGATATTATTATGACACAACATGTACAACATGTCTCTTAGGAAGATTTCTTGAGAGAAAACTGCCTGACCTTGATACAAAGATTGTTTTCACTTCTCCTGTGCAACTGCTTTGTTTTTACCTTACAGCCATTGTGGATGTTTAACTTAACTCTCTGGTTAGCTGCCAAAAAGAGCCAAATTGTGCCCACCCATACAAATGTGCTCTATGCCTCAATACCTTCATTCCTGGCTCCAGTTTATGTCTCTGCTCTAGTTATCTTTTCTTCTTAAGAAAATCTTAATTCATGCCATCTTATTTTGTGTATATACATATGTATCTTTTTTCTCATAAACATGCTTAAATTATTTCTGAATTAGTTCAGATTATGATATATACTATGTGTATATAAAACCATATTGGGTGCTTTTTCATTACCTCATTTATTTTAGCTTTTTTATCTTCAGGGATATTTTATTTTTCTGTATAGGTTATGCAAGATTTTCAAAAATAATTTTATCACAAAATTTTGTTGTTTTAGTAGTATAACCAAATGATAAAGTAACTGATAGAATGACCAGAATTGATTAAGATGATGTCATAAGTCTAGCCCAGTGTCCTACAGCATTGTTACTGGGTTTTTTTCCACAGTATACTTTGTTCTCTGTACTCAGTACTCTCAGTTCACATGTGATAATTTTTGCTGTATGATTTTTAGGAATATCGTTATGAATATCATCATGCTGCCAAGTCAGTGCATAGCAGTTAACTGTCTGGTAGTCTCAAATGTAATATGTGCTTCCATATCCATCAGACTTCTTGTTTTAGCACCGTACCTTGGATAGCAAGCACATTTATCTCATAACTTGTGTTGCTTCTACCTTAAGCTACTCATACTTTTGTCTGGACAGTACTTTTGTCTGGACAAGATAATATAAACGGATATTTGTTTCCAAACCTCATTTGCTTTGATTGGTTTGGAGCTGTCCTGGAATTTTCTGATTGTCTTACTAATATCATCCAATTGATAACATTAATATTATTTGTACAACATTTTATCCTCTTTCAGTACCTTTGAGTAAAATTATTGGCCTTCTCTACAACTATTGGGAGGATATAAGGAAGGCATAACCTTTTTCACAGATGGCAAAAACAAGGCCAAAATCATTTAAATGATTTGCTCACAATGGTACCGGCAAATCAGTGATGGAATTAGGCCTAGACCTGGTCTCCTGATTCCTATGCCACACCACCTTAATCCCAAAATTCACCAAAAGAATTTCTAACTTACATTACCAACATTACGTAGTCTTTATCTTACCCTTTGAGGCTAAACATGTGACGTGGTCAAAGACAAGTAATATAACCCCATGCTCATAGCTGGGCAGAATCAGGAATGCATTTCATTTGTAGTGTTCTCCTGACTTTCTGTTCTTGAAATTATGCTTCCTTTTAACCATAACACTATCACTTTCCATTATGGAATGAGGAAGCAATATTTTATTGTAGCTCTTAAAAATTAGTGTTGAATGAGAACTATGTCCCTTGGGTAATTGTAACTTTTTTCTTCAAACGCTTTGAAAATTCATCTTGAATATAAAAAATAATTTGCCATTGTTAGGTATATTCATTAAAGGGCCAAGGAGACTGTTAATGTTATGGTGTTTGGTAAAACAGTAGGTATAATTTTAACCAATTTCAGCATTGAAAGAGGAAATTAAATGCTTATTATTTCAGCATGGAAAATTTCCAGAGTTTTCATTCTAATTAATTGTTCACACAGCACATAAGCTAGGCATGGTATTCCACAGTAAACATTGTCTTCTGCCTCTCCTCCAGCTTCTAGAATTTTGGAGCAACTCTGGTCAGTAGAGAATGGACCCAGTAGTCTTGAGTTACATGGACAGTTTACTGCGGCAATCAGATGTCTCCCTGCTGGATCCTCCAAGCTGGCTCAATGACCATATTATTGGGTTTGCCTTTGAGTACTTTGCCAACAATCAGTTTCATGACTGCTCTGACCAAGTCTGCTTCATCAGCCCCGAAGTCACCCAGTTCATCAAGTGTACTAACAACCCAGCAGAGATTGCCATGTTCCTTGAACCCTTGGACCTCCCCTACAAGAAAGTTGTGTTTTTAGCTATCAATGATAACTCCAACCAGACAGCTGGAGGAACCCACTGGAGTTTGTTAGTTTATTTCCAAGATAAAAATAGCTTTTCTCATTATGATTCCCATAGCAGGAGCAACTCTGTCCATGCAAAGCAGGTAGCAGAGAAACTGGAGGCTTTCTTAGGCAGAAAAGGAGACAGACTGGCCTTTGTGGAAGAGAAAGCCCCTGCTCAACAAAACAGCTATGACTGTGGGATGTATGTGATCTGTAACACTGAAGCCTTGTGTCAGAACTTCTTTAAGCAACAGCCAGAAGCACTGCTGCAGCTACTCACCCCTACGTACATCACAAAGAAGAGGCGAGAATGGAAAGATCTCATTGCCAGACTTGCTAAAAATTAACTGTTGAGGTACATTTATGGCTTTTGAAGTTTCTTCTTTCTGCCAGTCTCCATATATTGGATGACCACAATCTCAGTGCCTGAGGGAAAACGCCTGGTAGAGGAAAGCTTTAGTGTTCTTAGTTTTTCCTGAAAGAATGTCATTTTCTGCATTATCCTAGTGGAAAGTTTCACTTTAATCCTCATGTGAGAGCATTATGTTCTGTGAAAATGTCTTCAAGTTATGCACCAAAATCTTAAAACTAACTAATCTTAACATTTATGTTATTACATGTGAGTTTCAAGTCAGGCTTTTTTTTTCCTGTTGGTGTCAAATTAATGCCCTTTTGGTCTCCAGTATCCACATTGGCCTATTTCAAAGAAAAGCAAAACAAGAGGATGTGAAATCTGGAAGAGTGACAGCTGAAAGGCAAGAAGAAACTTGAAGAACCAAAAACCTGTTGTACATCCTACATATTGGAAGCAATCAAGTAGCTGGAAGCAGATGAAGACTTCATTCAGGACCTAAGTACTATAAGGGTCAGTTACTCAGTTCTGTGCTATCTCATCCACTTGCCATCTATGTGCTTAACTGGCTATCTGCTTAACCTTTGCAAATATTTGAGAACCGTGATGTTAGCCCTTCTTTCCCCATCTAATTCCTGGAATGCTTTAAGAAAGGGGAGATCTTGAGTGACTTCATTAAAATAAATGGATGCGGTGTAGTTTATGCAGAGACTTGCTTCTCTGGATTAGTAACAGCTTTTGCTTGCCTTGCCATGCACTCACTCACTCCTTTATACCCAAATTTCTGTGATTCTAAAACACATAACTGATGGTTACGATTATATTTCATATAAATGTTCTGCTTTTCTCTCCTATCCTTAATCTGACAGGATTGTTTTCAGTTGTATTGGGGTGACTTTAGGACTATTATTATATCTGAAATTTACAGACTTATAGTTGGTTTGTTTTTAGATAGGATGGAGAAAAAATTTACCTTCAAAATACAGACAATATAATTTGAAAAATGTGGAACCAAGAGTAAAGTGAAATGCTATCCCTCCAAAAGCACTGATGTATTTTTCAGACTTGTGTCAAATAATTAACAACCAAATGATACATCAGGTATACACATTAATTCTATTCCCAACTAGAATTAGATTGCAACATGTATGAGACTTGAAAACCAAAGATAACTTCAGCTACCTCCCCAGCCTAACACTGCCCCCAGCACTCATGGCTGAAAATAACCTAACCACCCACAGACCACAGAAGCAGTAACTAAGTTCCTTTTAGCCATAGAGGGGAAACAGTAAGTATAGATAAATACAAGTTATATAGCAGGCCTGAATGACATAGGAATTGAAACTAAAAGTCAAAGAAAAAGCTATAAAACCATTTCTAGGCCAAGTCAGTAGTTATGGATAAAAGGGAGGCCTAGTAGGTGTGGTAGCATAGTGCCTAAGGCACTTGACTGCTAACCAGAAGGCTGGCGGTTCAAACCCACCAGCCACTCCTCGGAAGGAAGGTTGGGCAATCCTACTTCCGTAGTGATACTGCCTCGGAAACCCTATGAGTCGGGGCCGACTCCACGGCAAACAACAACAACAACAAGTAGAAGGTGGGGACAGGAACAAGATTAGGAACTAGCTTCAGCCATAGAGGTGAAATAGGGAGGGAGAGACAGCAAGAAGAGTGACAGAGGTTGGTGATAGTCCAAGAGTGTAGATAAGGTAATACTATTTCAGTTACTGTTGCTTAGGCAGCTAGTCTAGACAATGAAATAATCAAATATTTTCTAGGATGAATTGCTGTCTTTCTGATAATGCAAAGTATATTTGCTTAAGTGCCATTATCTCTCATTTAAGAGTTAATACTTCTGGGAGCAGTCATTTTTAACTTCCTAAGATTTGCCCCAGAAATAAATTATCTTCTTAACTAAGCTAGTAAGTCTTTAAAAAAGATAAAATCTAAGATTTCTTTTTTCAAACACACTGCAGAATATTGCACTGTGCCACAAGTTACTCTCCTATAAAACTTTATGCCATTTGTAAGTGTTAGCATTTATAAATAACAAGAGAATATAAGAGTTGAGTTATAATGTTTCACTAAAACCCATTGCCATCAAGTCAATTTCAACTCATAGCAACCCTATAGGACAGAGTAGAAGTGTTCCATATAGTTTCCAAGGCTGCAAATCTTTATGGAAAGGGAGCAGCTGGTGGGTTCAAACCACCAACATTTAGGTGGGCAGCCCAATGTCAACCACTATACTTCCTTAATGTTTGACTAGACACAGTAATAGCCCATACCAAATATGTCTACTTGGCCATCCACCACTGATGTTACATGACACAAAATAGAAAAAAAAAAAAAAAAAAATGTTTTGCTGGTATTATGTGCCCTTAGAGTCAAAAGGATCCAGTCTAAAATTCAGCTTCAAAATATTCTAAAGGAAAGGAAAATTAAACTTTGACCAATTATTAAACACTGAACTGCATGCTTTCAAAAATCTTGTTGTATTATCCTATAAGAATATTCACACCTGTCCAGCCTGTGTCTCAATACAGAATTCAAAAAGATAACCACACATAAACCCAGCTCTGGTAGCATAGTGGCTAAGGCACTTGACTGCTAACCAGAAGGCTGGTGGAAGGAAGGAAGATGGGGCAATCTACTTCCGTAGTGATACTGCCTTGGAAACCCAAGAAGGGGTCACTATGAGTCGGGTCCGACTCGACGGCACATAACAACAACAACAACAAACCCAGCTGAGATGGTGGTCGAAGCTAAAGTATCAGTGGGTTTTCTATTAAATGCTGTCTAAACCACACATAATTTCCATCCTTTGGCTAAGTATCTTTTGAAGTTCATAAGCACTGGCTCCTTAATTGGATCAGAATAATTAAAAAATTATAAGTGAATTATTTCTGATGTACTCCTTGTTTTTTTTATTATAGTGCAATTTTTACTATAACCATATTGACCATATATTTTAATAATATGATTTTCTATTAAAATAGCAAAGTGGAACTTCTCAGTCACACAGTTATTTGCTGATACTGAAAATGAGGGCTTTTCCTTCTACCACGTAAAATAGGAAATGAGAAAATATTACAGAAATTTACATGCTGTGGTATTGGAAAGAGCATGAATGCTTTACCAAACCCAAGCTATGTTCCTTTATAAATTTATAACCTTGGGCAAGTTTCAAATTCAGTAGCCTTATCTGCAAAATGAAGATAGTAGTTTGTTTAAGAGGTACTGTCAGGATTGAGGGAGTCCCTGGGTGGCACAAACAGTTAAGTGCTCTGCTACTAACCAAAATGGTGGAGGTTTGAATCCACCTGGATGCACCTCAGAAGGAAGGCCTGACAGTCTATATCCAAGGAATCACCCATTGAGAACCTACGGAGCACAGTTCTCCTATGACTCATGTGGAGTTACCATGAGTTGGAATCAACTCAGCAGCAACTGATAGATAAGGATTGTTGTTGTTATGTGCCATCGAGTCGGCCCCGACTCATAGCGACCCCTCCTTGGGTTTCCGAGGCAGTATCACTACGGAAGTAGGATTGACCAACCTTCCTTCCGAGGAGTGGCTGGTGGGTTTGAACCGCCAGCCTTCTGGTTAGCAGTCAAGTGCTTTAGCCACTATGCTACCAGAGCTCCTAGATAAGGATTAAGATACTTCATATGGGAAACCTATAACAGACATCAAAATAAACCACATTTCCCTTCAGTCTTGTTACCTAGTTTCATTTAAGACTAATAGCAAATTTGAAAACTTAGTTTTATATTGCCATGCAGATAAACAGCTGTGTGAAAAATGGCCTGATGAATATTGTATGTACAAAAGACAAAATTATTAGAGGATAATAAGAATTACAGGTAAAGAATGCAAAATGTCTTAGCAACAACTAACCTTTGGACACCACTCAATAATATTCAAGATGTTTTTTATATACATTGTCTCATTTAATTCTCATGTTTTTCCTATGGACCAGGTATTGTTATTATCCCATTTTATAGATAAGAAACAAACTCAGGGAGAAAAAAAGAAAGAAAACTCAGAAAAGCTGAATCACATGATTGAAGGTGGCAGGGCCAAGAATCAAATGCAGAGCCTCCGGCTCAGCTTTTCACACTCTTTTCTACTTACTGCACTCTCTCTCTCTCCCAGAAAATAATGGAAATGACTCCATGCTTGAATATCTTAAATGTAATCTCCCCTCACTTTCTAAATTTTTTAAATTCACTTGGTATATTATAGGAACCAATAGTGAAAAATGCCATCTCAATTACCTGCTGGGTAACAGAATTTATACAGTAACTGGCTGTGTTTTATATATTATGTCATGTTTGAATCATCTCCTTACATCGCTCTACTGACCTAATAAGGCATTTTAAAAGGCTTACATTTTACTTCACATGTTAAATCATCTCCCAAATTTCTTATATGAAAAAGGAGAAGTAGGGCAAGAATGGTAGCCTGGGGAATCTCACAAACAAGGCTCAAAGGGATTATAATAGCAAGCAAATGGGACTAAGCAACATAAAGGAACAGAAATGTAAAAAATGATCTGCAAGTCCCAAAATGGGGCAAATGAAATTCCACTAAGGAAAAATCAAGTGTTGAAAGCACTTAAATGAAATTTTCTTACGTAAAACACACCATGTTAGAATGCCAAAGGAAGAGGTGCCCATCTCGGGATCAGTAATTGGGAAGAGTTTTCAATACTCTGGGAAAACAAAACTAATCTTAAATCTTGAAGTTTGTATTAAAAGAAGATAAGAGCTACTTCCTTTGTCTTCCCCCTTTCATGTACACAAAGCAAGCAACCAGTGTTTAGAAAAAAACCCTTTCTCCATGATGCTCACTCAAACATGGTTTTCAGCACTGGGCTGTTTACCTAGCCAGCTCTCTACCACAACTCCCTCAGTCTTCATTCCTGCCTTCCTCTCCTGCTGCAGAGGGAAAAATAGCCACCAAACAGGACCTTCTTCACCTTTTCTGACACCACATCTGCAAACCTACTATTTGCTCCCATCCTTGAACCTTCCTCACTCCTGTTGCAATGAGCCTCATAGCTAAGACTAAGCTCTCCACTGATAGAGGGACCTTGTGCAAACAGTCCCCCCACACGCACACATCATTATCAACCTATCTCTATATAGCTCTCTTTCTCTTTCTCATTCTCGTTCTCTTTCTGTCTCTCTACTGGCTCCTCAGCATTTAAATGTGTGTCTCCCACATTTTAAAAAATAAGACATGATCCGTGTTTCCTTTAAATACTGAATTTCTGCTTTTCTACCCTTTGCAGCCAGCTATTAAGTGTCTATATATAGTCAGTGTCACCATTAACC